ACATCAGACAAATGGTTATCCAACATCTTCTTAAAAACCTCCAGTGTTGAAGCATTCACAACTACTGGAGGCAACTTGTTCCACTGATTAATTGTTCTAACTGCCAGGAAATTTCTTCTCAATTTCAGGTTGCTTATCTCCTTCTTTAGTTTCCACCCATTGCTTCTTGTTCTACCCTCAGGTGCCTTGGAGAATAGCTTGACCCCCCTCTTCTTGGTGGCAGCCCCTGAGATATCGGAACACTAAACCAGCCTTTCAAACCCAACCAAGGTTTTCCCCTATTGGAATGGACAGACAGACAGCCACCAGTGTTTGGGGGCTGGGAAAAGCTTCCCAAGGAAGCTTAAGAGGATTCTCACCTGGACCAAAAGACATTCCCGATCCCTCCATCTTTTTTCAGGGTGTCCTGCTGGGGGCATCTGGCGGCTGGCAGCTGATGCTCCTTGGGAGGTTGGGATGCCAGCAGGTTGGCCCCCTGCGCTCCATTGTTGCCGATGCTCAAGGCCATCCAAGGGCTGAGTTAACAAGGTGTGTCTGTCTGGGTGTGTCTGTAAATCCACAAATGAACAAAGCACCAAGCCAAACAAGAGAGCCAGAAAGTCCCATCTACCGGGGAGGGTGTGGGTGATGGGAAGAAAGTTGAGAAGGCGGCAGACTTTTCCAAAACAGCCAGGAGGAGTAAAAAGTTTCCTAAACTTTTTAAAAGTTTTCTAAAGTCTTCTCCAGCTACTCTTCTTTCCAGACAAGAGGCCGGAATTCAAAGCTGGACTCGGAGTTGGTAGGGGTTGAAAAGCAGCAACCGGAGGGGCAGGGGGCGTCGGTTGATTTGGGAAAAGGAGGAGGGGGGATCCCACGACGCCTAACCCCAGGTTCGCCCCGGAGACAAAAAAAAAATCAGTCCAGCATCTCCTCGCCGCCGTCCGTCCTGGGATTGGAAAGGGGGAAAAAAAGACCAAGAGGGGAAGGAAGAAAGAAAAAAAAAAGGTCCACGTGTCAATTTTGTCTCTTCCTGCTCGGGCCCCCTTTCCAGGAAGTCTCGCAAACCGGGTGTCAAAGGAAACGTCAAACTCGGGGTTGTATGAAGGAGAAGACTCGCTCGGGGATCTCCCCAGTCGGCCCCGATCGTCCCGCAGCGAAGCGCAAGGAGAGAGGATCCCGGCCGCGTCTCGCTTGGCAGCCGCAACAGCCAAGAAGACAACTTGGGACTGGAGGCGTCATCGCTGTCCCGGACCGCGGCTTCCTCGTTGTCGGCGCGGGTGTCTGTGTGTGTGTGTGTGTATGTGGGGCGGGGAGCGATGCTGGAGGTGGGGAGAGGGACTCTTCCCTTCGCCGTTAGGGGCGGGTCCGTTCCAGCGCCCATTCATTCAGCGGCGGGAGGCTGTTGCGCGCTCCGTTCCTTCGCTCCGCCACCGGCCGCTCCGTTATTAGAGCTGGAGGCGCGCGGGGATGTTAACAGCTTCGCAGGGTTGGAAGGGACCTGGTAGGTCATCTAGTCCAACCCCCCCCCTTCCCCAAGCAGGAGACCCTATGCCATTGAACAGGGATGGAAGGGACCTTGTAGGTCATCTAGTCCAACCCCCGCCCCTTCCCCAAGCAGGAGACCCTATGCCATTGAACAGGGATGGAAGGGACCTTGTAGGTCATCTAGTCCAACCCCCCCTTCCCCAAGCAGGAGACCCTATGCCANAGGTCATCTAGTCCAACCCCCCCTTCCCCAAGCAGGAGACCCTATGCCATTGAACAGGGATGGAAGGGGACCTTGTAGGTCATCTAGTCCAACCCATCACCACCCGCCCAAGCAGGAGACCCTATGTATCATTTCTGACAAGTGGCAGTCCAGTCTCTTCATGAAAGTCTCAACTGAGGGAGCTCCCACAACTTCCGAAGTCAGAGCCGAGGTGGCGCAGTGGTTAGAGTGCAGTACTGCAGGCCACATCAGCTGACTGCTATCTGTTGGCAGTTCAAATCTCACCGGCTCAAGGTTGACTCAGCCTTCCATCCTTCCCAGGAGGGTGAAATGAGGACCCAGACTGTGGGGGCAATATGCTGACTCTGTAAACCGCTTAGAGAGGCCTGAAAGCCCTATGAAGCAGTATATAAGTCTAACTAAAAAAAAAAAAAAAACTTCTGTTCCATTGGTTGATTGTTCTGTCAGAAATTTTCTTCTTATTTCAGGGTTGAATCAGTTTCACCCATTGTTCCTTGTCTGACCTTGGGGTGCTTTGGAAAATAGGTTGACCCCCTCCTCTCTTAGACAGCCCCTCAATTATTGGAACACTGCTATCATGTCTCCCCTGGTCCTTCTCTTCTCTTCACTAGACTAGTCCAGACTCTTCTTTAAAGCTTCCATGGATGAAGCTCCTGCAACATCTGAAGGCAAGCAGTTCCATGGGTTGATGGCTCTCACTGTCAGAAAATTTGTCCTTTCTAGATTGAATCTCTCTCCTTGATCAGTTTCCATCCATTGTTCCTTGTCTGGCCTTCAGATGCTTTGGGAAATAGCTTGACCTCCTCCTCCCCTCTGTGGCAGGCCCTCAAATATTGGAGCACAAGGTGAGGACGATGACAGAGGAGGTGTTGTTGCAAATTAGTAATGATCTGAGATCATAGAACACAGAATAATATTTGGAAGGGACCTTGAAGGTCTTCTAGTCTAACCCCCTGCTCAAGGAGACCTTATGCCATTTCAGACAAATGTCCAGTCTCTTCTTAAAAAACCCCAGCGATGACGCAGCCACAATGTGAAGGCATTGTTCCAAGTTGTTCCACTGATTTAACTATTCTCACCATTAGGAAATTTCTGCTTAAATTAAAGGTTGCTTCTCTCCTTAGCTTCTATCCATTGTTTCTTGTCCTGCCTTCTGGTGCATCAATGGAAGACCAGATTGGAGTTAGAGGATGAGGGAGGGGTGGAAATCTATGCAATTCCTAGGAATTGGCAACCATTTGACAGCACAATCAGTGACAGTCAGTCAAGTTTGACACAGAAATATTACCCACAGTTTTCAAATCGGGATGGACCTAGAATGCAAGCATGACAAGCGAATAAAGGTATTCCTCTTTCCCAATGCCATCTAAATGCCCCTGATAGGCTCTAGTACAGAAAATACAATACAATGGCTGAAATTGGGCCAAGCCATTAATATGATGCCAAAATAATCAAGTAATGACTTTCTAATCGTGGCCATAGTGTATGTTAACCAAAAACCTGATAGTTTGCATTCTATTGCAAAAGTTTTTTTTTTCAAATGCCAACCTTGAAGGTCACAAAGATTAAAATCCCTGTTATTACAAAATAGTAATAATTTAGATAAAAGTTAGTTTTTCCTGTGGAAAGCCCCCTTCCCCAACTTTATTGAACTGCTTAAGAGAATTGCATTAATCTAGGAATACAGCAGGTGACTGAGCTCACGGCAGTAAAGCCTCTGTCCATTTCCTCAGGCCCAACAGGTTCAAAATTGTTCCCAGGTGTGGGGCACAGTGGCTCAGTGGCTAAGATGCTGAGCTTGTTGATCAGAAAGGTCGGCAGTTCGAATCCCTAGCGTCGCGTAATGGAGTGAGCTCCCATTACTTATCGCAGCTTCTGCCAACCTAGCAGTTCGAAAGCACATACAAAATGCAAGTAGAAAAAATAGCAAGTAGAAAAAATAGGAACCACCTTTGGTGGGAAGGTAACAGCATTCCGTGTACCTTTGGGGTTTAGTCATGCTCGCCACATGACCATGGAGACATCTCCGGACAGCGCTGGCTCTTTGGCTTTGAAACAGAGATAAGCACTGCCCCCTTGAGTTTGGAACGACTAGCACATATGTGTGAGGGTCACCTTTACCTTTATGGAGCAAGACTCCACCTTAGGCATCTCCACCAGACGTGCCATGAGATGGGATCCAACTGAAAACGAATCTGAATAGCTTTGTCCAACATATGCCAATCAAATTCCTTCATATGCTCCCTTTATCCCATTACCTTTAAGATGTGCTTAGTCTCCTTTTCATTCCTTCCAACAATGCTCCTACTAAACATAGCTCCTTCTCCAAAAACTGCACGAATCAGCATCATTTTTATGTTACAGGTAGTCCTCAACTTACAACAGTTCATTTAGGGACCATTCAAAGTTACAACAGCACTGGAAAAAGTGACTTGTTTTTCACACTTATGACCATTGCAGCATCCCTCGGGTGATATGATCAAAAAGGGCGTTGGTACTTACCTGATATGCCTCTTCTCAAAGTGGGAGAGGAGTATCGCTTTTGCAGCAATTTAAATTTTTCCTTTAAGTTTCTTCAGGATCTCAGGATGAACACAGCCGTCCGTTGATGGACTGAGTCGATAACTGGGTGGAGCTTGGTGACCAAGGCGTGGCTAAAAGAGCTTATCTGACTCAGTCCAATCGAGAGAGGACAAGGTCAACTCATCCTGGATATTCCTCCCCTCACTATGGAGAATTCAGATGCTTGGCAAGTGGTTCATATTTATGATGGTTGCAGGTTCCAGGGTGGTGGTGGTGATGTGATCACCTTTGGTGACCTACTGATAAGCGAAGTCAAAGGGGAAGCCAGACTCACTTAATCACAATACCCCTAGTTTACCAACTGCAGTGATTCACTTAACAACTGTGTGAAGAAAAGCCGTAAAATGGGGCAAAACTCCCTTGACAAATGTTTCACTCATTTAGCAACAGAAACTCTGTTCATAATAAATTGTGGTCACAAATCGAGGACTACCTGTATTTATATATGTTGCTTTGAAGGTTGAACCTACCCTTCCAAGCTTGTATCCCTTGTGGAGTAGCCAGAAGAACCCGTTTTGAATCGGAGATGTTTTGCACACACCCCTCAAAAATACACATGATGTACATATATAACACAGACTTCGCTACATGAATTGCAAATCTTACTCAGACTGATAGGAATGATTAGCACAATTATATTCTCTGAAATATTATTTCTACAAAGAGGTTCATAAAAACAAACTAGAAGAAAAACCAAATGGGAAACGTATTGATCAAAGTTGTATTTAATGCTAAGCAGTTAAAGAGTGGTGATCTAACATTATGGAGATAAATTGCAACCATTTTTCACAGCCACTAAGTAAGACATTTCTCATGTGTATGACAAAAAAATCATTTATGTAGTGAGGGCTGTGGGGTTTTATTTTTGTGAATAATATTTTCATAAGTTATATTTTACACCCTCCTCATCTGAGAATAATTCAAATTGATTATATTATAATTTGTATATGCAAACTATTTTATATACATGTGAATATAAAGATCCCTAAAAGTACCACGGGGACTACACCTTTCCACGCTCTGTAAAATGCATAGCTTTCTTTCATACCATTTTAAATATTTTTCTCTAAACCCAAGAAACCTTTACAGATTAAAGCTGCTTCAGTGTGAGATGTTTTAACAAAAATCAAATTAAGTAAACTTGTCATAGTTATATCGCATATTTGGCTCTTAAAACACTCTATATTCCAGTTATTATGCAACCATGGCTTCAACAGAATGCTTGAACATAAAGACCTCTTAAACATGGCTGCAACATAGGATATCTGGTAGAGAAACCAGCTGTTGGTCAGGATTACACTGAAAGCTGATGTTTTCAACCAAGGGTCTCCAAACTGGGCCACTTTAAGACTTGTAGACTTCAACTCCCATAATTCCTCAGCCAACCATTCTGACTGGGGAATTCTGGGAGTTGGAAGTCAGTAAGTCTTAAAAATGGCCAAGTTTGGAAACCCCTGCTTTATACTTTCTATATTTCCAGAAGAGGGAAGATAAATTGGTCGTTATCTGAAGAAAGCCTAGACATTTTGACTTTCAAAATAGATGTGCGTAATGAAAAGAACTTATCAGGCCAAGTTGAGTTGTGAGGAAACATTCCCAAAGAATATAAAATAACCCAGGACACTAAAATCCCAAAATGTTAAGTAGTTTTCGGTCTCTCCAATAGGCAATACAAGCATCAGTGCAAAATACAAGTGCCATCTTATCTTCGAACTACTGTTCACACTAGTCTACCCGTGGGCCTTACCCAGAATGCAGCTGCATACAGATACACCTCCCTCTGTTGTATTGCTCTCAATTGTTGCTATGAGTAATATAGAGAAGATTCTAGTAATCTATTACACCAAGCAATGACCATAGCAAAACCTTGCTGAAAACCAAACCTTTGTGTTCTATAGCTTGCTCATTTACTCACCAAGAGCACTGGTACTACTAGACTACACCTAAGTGGACTACTCTCATTTTCCCCCCTTCTTTCAGCAGAAAAATGTGTAAAATGAGCACAGAGAGGCAGGTTTATCCTAGCTGGCAATAAGATTAGTAGTAACAGCTTGGCAGCTGGAGATACTTCAGGCTTCAGCAACCTTGGAGATAACTGAGTTAGTTGCAAGATGGTAATCTTAAAACTGGCCAGATTAGCATTTATTACTACCAGCCTAAGAGGGGAACAATGTTTTTAAACCAGCCTTGCATTGCCATTAACCACCCATAAAGGAAACTGCAACGCAACCGAGCAAGAAATAACTCATGGAATTACAGGGGCTTTAACAAGGGCAGAAATAAATCCTAACCATGATAACATGACTCCAGCCATAAAGAGGGGAGCTCCAGGGAGGAGAGTTGTAAAATCAAAGTACTAATTACCCAAGCTAAGAAAGAAACTGTTAAAATAATTCCATCATTTAAAAATTACGGCCCCCAAATATTTATACTGTTCCACTGGATTTACATTAAGCTATTTCTTCTTACTGAGAATGGCTAACATTATTTCCATTTCCATATCCTCCGTATTAAATATATTACAGGCTTTAAGGCTGCAATTGTCACCCCAAGCAGTATAAGGACTGCAACTGGCATTAAGAAATAGAACCACAAAGAAACTCTGCGGAAAGAACGCCTACCTATAAATGTGATTATGTCTTTCGTCAGAGGCTATTTTGGTCATTCTTGAAAACTACAAAAGAAAATGCTTTTATTTTTAGCAACGCTTCTGAGAGAACTAGGCCCATCATGAACATAACATTCAGCCCCATATAAATAAGTCACCAAGGTGTGAAAAGCAAGGGCAGTTATCTTCAATTACAGCTTACAAGCTTTCTATACTATAGTCTATGCAGTAAACAACACTGGCGGGAGGCTTACAAAATGATCACTTTTAACCAATTGCTAGCTTATAAATAGGGAATGCATATTTGGCTATAAATTAACACAGAAATAAGTCCATGTTTCAAGTGAAAAACAGGTGAAGTTTAACTGGAGAGTTGCCAAGAGCTTTAACATCAATTCGTTGGCTACCAAAATAGGCTTCAGTGGCCAGACGTTGCAAACCTTCAGCCCAGTATTTAAAAAAGAACCTTGGTATTTGGCTAAAAAAAAAGGACGACAGTGCACAGCCTAAGTCAGATGGACAAAGTGATGTAATGCTTTTCCAATGCTTATTTTCTGCATTTGAAAAGGGCACCCTTCCCTTTACGTATGCTTGCCAAGGAAAGAAACAAAACAAAACACACACAACCAAATTGCAAAAGTCCTGAACTGTAGTAAAAATATTTCAGTCACAGACTGATTAAAAATGTATAATCACTGTGCAGGTGTGAGATTTAGTGTCCATCTGCACATTTTACTTGGGTTCCTCAATTGTCCCCTTGCTGAGATCTGTCATTTTGGGATATTTTACTTTCTTCTGGTCCAGCTCATTTTGAGCCCACAGTAGTAGCTTCAATAATTTAGCCAGTTTGGGGGTTGACTCACGATTTTCATAATCTAACACAGCTTGGTTTACTTCGCTCCACACCTAGAGAAAGAGATAAGTAACTTAGATTAGTAACGTATTTCCGTGAAGCAAGAGAGTTAGTTTGAGTTTTGCCCCATTTTACAAGCTTTCTTGCCAGATTTGTTAAACGAATCACGGCAGCTGTTAAGTGAATCTGGCTTCCTCATTGACTTTGCTTGTCAGATCGCATATCCCCCACAACTCCTCTGTGAGGTGGGTTGGGTTGAGAATGTATGATTGGCCCAAAGTCACAGGCAAAACTAGAACTCAGTTTCCTGGATTCTAGTCTGCCGCCTTAATCACTAGACTACACTAATAGGTGGTTTATTTTACAATTATATGCTGTTCCATTTGGGGCAGATACCACGAAACCTTTTATGGCAAGAATCTCTATTATTATGAGGGTCTTGGGTGCTCTGTGAGGTTGTTTTTTTGCAGACATTTCATTACCTAACTAGGTAACATCATCAGTGCTAGTCAAGTGCTTGACCAAGGACCCCTCTTATGTCATCCCTGAGCAACAAATATTCTCCTTTCTTAGAATCTCTACTATTGTTATAGTTATCTACTAGAAAAGTAGGCAGTAATTTCTTCTTTATATTCATCATTCCCAAGCATATTTACTTCACCACTCAAATTGAATCCTCACAACTGATTACTTAAAGTAATAGCTAACTGTAGGAAGTTAGCACCCACCCCTCTCCTAGGAAAATGAGATATTTTAGGAGATATTAAAAGGACAGAATATTCCCCCTAAAAGGGAGGCAGAAACTCAGCCACTCCACCTTTGTCAATGAGCCATTAAGGCCTGACCCAGTCTATTCTATATAACAAAGATCTACCTCCTTCAGGCAAGCCATAACAGGAATTGCCCAGAGCCCTTTCATTACATCATCACCCAGCAACAGCTCAACCAAGCTTGGGACTCAAAAGACAGACAGCCTACAAAGTTAGCTAAGACCCCCGCCCCTTGGGAGTCTGACCACCAATCAGAATACATTTCTTACACAGGAACAGGAAGCTCTAAGGTGGGGCCTAGGAGAGGGTATAAAACTCAGGTACTCTGCCCATTTTTCTTCAAGATCTTCAAGGCATGTGATCCCCTTTCCACCAGGACCTCAAACCATGTCATCCTGTCCACCATTAAAAACCATCTTTCCAAACAGCTGCCATATTTCCAGGGTCTTTCTCCCCACTTGGAACTGAACCCAGATGGACATTTCTTCCAACATAACTAAGCAATTTAGCTGGTTGAGCAAGCACTTAAAAGAAAGCCTTAACTGACTATGAAAAAGACATAAAGCCACCTATTTCCTACAACACACTAGGAGATCAATGTAAATGCACCAGCAGTTAAGAGTCCTGCAATCTTTTAATTTTAGTTCCATAACTAGCAATTACTTTCTGTCGCTGCATCATGTTGAGCAGATCTCCAAAAGGGGATTCCTCTGGATTATCAAAAGCAAGGAGAGCCAGGGTGCGCTCCATCTCCGTCAGACACTCCCGACTCTCTTCTCCTTGTTCTGCTAACTGAGTCTGCGCAAACTCCAGAGCAGCTTCAGTTTCCCGCTGCCGAATCAGTTCAATTAAATGTTGCTGCTGCACAGATCAATGAAAAAAATAATAGGAAGTTAAACACAGTTTCTCTCCTACATTGCTAATCATCTCTGTATCGTTCCAATTTTAGTACATGTGATGCCAAAGCGAGCACGTTTCTCTCCTATATTGCAAGCATCATTTGAATATTTGGCCTTGATTAAACATCTTTAAATAATAATTTAAAAAAATCTAACGGTCAGAAGCAAAGCTATGCAACTTAGCTTTTTAAGTTGTTCTCATGTCAATAAAAAAAGAACGGAAATTCACTTCATGTCCTAGAGCTCTCTAATGTGATTCTATCTTTCAAAGACTGCCTTTTCAGGCTTAAGGTATTTGGAGTTTTAATGCTCAGCTAAAGAACTGCACAGGAAAGTACATTTAAATGCTTTTAAGAGTATCTACAACATGGACAGCAAATCCTCACCAATTCCAATTTCAAATCGATTCAGATTAATGTCAAAGCCAATATGTACATAATACTGTTACGGGATTGGAACATCTAGAGCAAGGATGTCAAACTGGCGGCCCATGGGCCGAATGGGTAACATACAGGCACGCCCACCTCAGCTCCATGAATGGGGAAAATGTTGCAAAATGTCACGACGGCAATGTGATGCAGCAAGTTTGACACCCATCATCTAGACAGTTCCACTGTTCACGTTTTATCTACCACAAGTATATTCCCAAAGGGCATTCAAAATGTCTGTCCTACACATTAAAATAAATTAAATTCAATTATTGTAGTCCTTAAATAACCAATACATTTATTAGATACATTAGCTATAATCCCTGCTTCTTTAAATCTGTTATCTTACCTGCAAATGGAAGTAAAGGTACCGGTTTGTGTCTAATAACTCTGGATGAAGGCTATTGATCAGTGCAATGGCTTCCTGAATCTGACCTTTGAGGATCATCTCCCGAATTTTTATTCTTTCATCCAGGGTCTCTAGATCAACACTAGGTTCAATTCCAGATTCCATTCGAAACTTCTCAGCAGCCTCTTTAAAACCTTCTGAAATGAAATGGAAGAAGAAACTGGTTATGAAAGGGGGGAAAAAAGTCATCTACGAGGTTTTTGGCATTGAATGACATTTGGTGTTTTTGTTTTTACAATAAAAAGGGAGCTGAAATTTCCAACTGCAAAAATAAAAGGGCAAAAAAGATTAAAAGATCTAATTATCTTATTAAAGCCACTTCTCAAAACTAACTTCCTCAGTGGCCAGTTCTTGAAGTTAACAAAAACTTTCTGAAAAAATTAGTAGCTATGTAGGCCTCCTTCCTTGTTTCTTCCTTTTCCTCTTTTTTCTACTTGTCCTTTTGCCCATAAGCTTGTAGGAACAGACTATATTGTTAAAACTTAAGAAACTTTTTCACATTTTATATAATAACATGGCACATAATTACAGGTTGTGGAGTGGGTAGCAGCTGTGTTTTTGGTCTTCGCCAGACTCTTCTAGTAGAGTGCCATCAATGAATATAAACACGTGCTGGAAACGTTCTTAAATACCATCCCCAAATTAAGAGGCAATCATAAATCTAGTGATTGTTACCTGTAACAAGATAGTTCATAATTAAGCGATTCATGTCAGCTCTTTGGATGTGTAAATTATTGAGTTTTTCCATCCACTCATCTTTTGTAATTTCATCGGGTTTTTCTGCATAACTCATTTTTGTCCTTCACTAGAAAGAGAGGATGAGATTTTTATCTATCTGAGTGCTGAAACACAACCTTGGTTAGATGAAACAAGAACAATTTAAATTTGAACCCCAAATTTACCAGCTCTCAGTACAAGAGACTTTGCATGTAGTACTCCACAATTCCATGAAACAATGTTATTTTGCAGAAGATATGCTTTGCAATATTTGCAGAACCACAGGTACTTCATTACTCAAGTGATGTAAATTGTGGTGCTGACATACTTTTTGAATGATGGACACACAACCCCAATAGTCAATTACAATGAGATTTCATTATAGCTAATCATTTAGCATTAGTAAAAAAAAAGTGGTATCAAAAAGTAAAAGTTTAATTTGCAGTCATAAGATTAAATGCAGCTGTCTGATGAAAGACTTGCTTTTTCTAGTGGACCTCTCTGCTGTCAAATGGAAATTCAATAAGCATGCTAAGATGACATGAATCTATCATTTTGATTTTGATTAACAACTTCTTCAAATTCCTCTTTATTTTCGGCTCGCAAGCTGCTGTCACTTGCCACTCTCAAGATGATTATGTTCTAGCTGCCTATTTGGACTCGAGCTGTCACTTTATCCAAACTTATCATTCTTCTATTCCTTGAATAAGCTGAACAGATGATATGGAAACAATATGCATCCTTGGCTTTCCTATTCCGTACCTCTTTGTTTCTCCAGGGTCAGTCCTTACAATGGCTTCTTGCTCATAATAATGAGCCCTCAGAAGAATATATTCAGAGTGTTCTGCTATATACCCATTAACCTAGATTCTGGTACGTTTAACACAAAAGCCTTGCTGTAGTCAATAATGCAAAAGAAAATCCCACTTTCTGTCTTTGTATTCCATCTTAGGTTACCTATCTGACCTTGTAGCCTACTGCCTTTTCTAAAAGTTGCATCTCCTTATGGCTCTACTCTGTAAGATTTTAAGTAATATTTTGACTTGTGTGAGGAATTAGCCTGGTTTGACAATCTACACATTGCCTTATATATATATATATTGTTTGGTATAGGCATATTTTCCAACCTCTAGGCCATATAATATTTGTTGACACAGAACCGTTACCACTTTTACCTGCCTTTCACTCTTAACTTTAAACAACAAGCATTCAGCAACACCTAGGATTTTACAGCTGGTCCACTGCATTTTGCACTTTGTTTTCTATTGCAGTCAGCTGTTGTGTACAGTCCCTCTAAGTGTTTTTGTTTTTCTATAAGCCACAATGAGCTGGCTCTTCCCCCAGGCACGGAGTTATGGTGTGAATGTTTGGCAAATATAGAATGAAATTGTTTGGTGGAAGCCTTGTTATACAGGGCACCACAGGGCATTGTTGTTATGTATTGCTTTTTAAAATCTTATTTTGTTTTACTGATCCTGCTTATAGAGCCACCCTGGATTATTGTATATAAGATGCATGCCCCTATTTTTTTTTAAATGAGTAAATTCTGTACCTATAATGTATCTTCCCATCAGTAATAAATTTTCTTGCAATTTCTCTGTTCTTAAAACTATCTTTCGCTTTTGCACTATATTCCCCTACTTGCTGACAATCTTGACTGGGGTATATAGAGCCTTGTTCAGACATGATTGCTTGACACTGAAAATGCTACATTTATATAATTTATAATTTATAAATTTATATAATTTAATGAAGCTTCTTTGTTTTCTTGTCTGTTATAATTTCTTCTAAAAGCCACTTGGATCTTTTGTTGTTACAAATTTGGGGATTATTTTCCCACTTTGATTTTCATAACATCTCTTATCTCTCTCCACATCTTTTATCTCTCTCCATTGTTCAAGTTTCTTTCATATATAAAGTAAGCATACTGGATGTGTATGAAGTAATATTCTCACTGTGTATCTTCCAGAACAAATCTTGCTGCCATACCTACTCTTTAATTTACTATGTTTCTATAAATTATACAGATAAAATGTCAACTTTTAGTCTGTTTCTGGAAATGTCTTATTCCATTGCACTTCTTCCTCTTGTGTTTGTTACCTATGTGATCAAGCCAATTAGTCATGGGCTCTCAGCGCCATTCATGCACACAATCTGCATTTCTGAAACTTGAAGCAAGCATCAGCAATAAATACTTCTCTTTATAAAACTTTTTTCTAATACCTGCATTCCATTCACCCAATAAAATTATTGTACTGTATTGTTAAGACTGTACAGTTTTTAGCCCTATTTGCTGAAGAATTTGTCAATATTTTCTACCTCAAATGAACGTGGAAATCATGATATTCACTGTAAAACCACAAATTCTACTCTATATGGATAGTCACTTGTCTGAAATAGTAGGGTCTCCTGCTTGAGCAGGGGTTGGACTAGAAGAACTCCAAGGTCCCTTCTAGCGCTATTCTGATTGATTGATCTGCTGTTAAGTTATATATACTTAAGCAATGTTTTTTTGAGTAATATTGCTATCTATTCCTTCACATAATCTCATATACTAATCTGATTTAAAGTGACCAATTTCATAAACCTAAGATCATATATTCCTAAAAATATGCAATTTAATATACATTTCTGATGCAACAATTTCAAGTTCTCTTATTCTATACTTCAATCTTATACACACTTGTAAAACAAAAAATTCCTCTTTCAATATAAGTACTACCAATGGGCAGGATTCCTTATGACTTAGGTCTCCTTCAGAGTTACTATCACTCTTGACAAGACACTAAGGTATCTTCTGATATGGGGTTTATCAAATGGTTACCTAAAGCTGTCTTCAAATTTCAGACATGTCCAGAAAGTTTACTTGGTAATAATTCCAGAAAGGAGTACAGAAATGAACTTCAGGGTTGAACTGCGGAATCCTTTTTGACACCCTACCTAGAGTGTACTGCAGTATTTTAAACCACTAGAATGGTCTGTTGGCCCTAAAATGATCACACTAGCTAGCACATAAAGTTGATCCCTGCCAAAATCTTTCCAGCCATAGCTGCCACTCACTCTTTCATTAGGAGTCATGAATCGAAAGGATTCCCAAATTGTGTACTAGTTCGGTCTGGGGAAATAGAACTCAATTGAGAACTAAAGATGGTGTGCCCAATGCCTGAATCAAAGCCACTTTATCTTGCTAGGGTTGATCCCGTTTCTCCCCAGGCAGACACTAAAAACCTCCAGGTACTAGGTCAGCACCGCAGCAGCATCACATGGATTCCGATAATAACTGCCTCCATAACACCATAAGCCATTATGGATGTTCATATAGATTGTGCATACTCATGTACATGTTAGGGCGAAGTGGAAACTACTGAGCCCTAAGGAATTCCAGAAAGTAGGAGCCCTGGGTTTGACCTGCCTTTCCCTATCACCACTGACTGGAATGGGCTGCAGAGAAGGAAGAACTATTGCAAAACAGCTTTGCATACTCAAATACTAAACTGGTCCAAAGAATAATGATCAGTGGTGCAGGAAGTAATCAAAGAGATGAACAGTCAGGAGAACTGCACCACCCTTATTCTACCAGAAATCATCCACAAATGTAATCAATGCTGCTTCAGTAGAATATCCCGGCCTAAAAGGGTGACTCAAAATGGTCCAGATAATGTGTTTGTTTTATACACCTCTTGAGTTGAGCCCAACCATCTTCTCAATACTCTTCCCCTGCAGCCCCAAAGGAAGTTGGGGACTGGGCAGAAATTGTGCAGTATTATTGCATCCACTGAATGTATTTTGAGGATGGGTACCACCAGCTCTTTCACTATGCCTTTGTTCAAGGATGAATTTGCTACTACTCAAATTCAATTACAGCTGGCCTTTCCAGCTAGAAGGGTTATGAATTTTACATACAGGAGGCAATGCTAACAGCACTAAGAACCTGTCCACTTCCTTAAGATTCACAGGTTCTAACAGTTTAATCAGGGAGTTATGTTTATAACTTATTATATTATATTTATTTGCTTTCCAACACAATAAATGCCATAACTTACCAACAATATTGTTCATTCCCCCAAATATATGGACAAACAGAAGTGGCAAGATGGGGATTTCAAATCCTTTCAGGATAAATTTAAGATAGCAATTCACTAATATAGGAATATTGAAGGCAGATAAAAAAATGCTGAATGACCATTCATCAAAATATGTAATTCTATCTGAAATTATTTAAACATGAATAAAGGCAAAGTAGAAGCTCTGGAGTGTTTACTCCAGTAATTCTTATACCATAAAGTATAATAATAGTCATCTATCTTGTTGGAGTCTTATCTTTGAGCAGCAGTTGAAAAGATACGAAATGCTGACTATCTTAAATACATGTACTGCTGTGAAATAGCAGAGGACAATTTTGATTTTCTGGTTCACAGCTCATCTCTTAACAATCTCTAAGCACGCAGTAATCAAGCAAATTGCCATGACGTAAATATGCCCCAAGTTTATCTGCATACTCAGAATCTCTTGTTCTCTTCTCTTTAAAAGAGATATATACTGCTATAACTAAAACCACTTTTTAAACTGCCCCAGCTTGAAAAAATGACTTGAAGAATGGCAAAGGAAGCTTGTGAAAAAGGAATTTTTTACTTTAGAAAGCGAAGCTCAAGAACTTACTAGAATTACAAACAATGTTAGCTCTAGAACTTTAGCTAACTTTTTCTCAAATAGCTTGTATAGCTAACAGAGTTCACCAACATAAGCATTTCTGTAGTTTTTGTAGCAACAATAAGAAAGTGACTTATCATTGCCTTTTTTGACAATTGTTAATTTTACTTCCACATTCAGCCTACAACCCTGGCATTTCTTGATGGTCTCCCATCCCTCCCTCAGGTCCAACTCTGCTTTTCTTCTTTGCTGAGGCAAGATCAGTCAGGTGTTGCCACCTGCTGAGTCACGATAATCATGATTTGTACTTAAATAGCTCTACAAAAAGAACATCCATGAGTTAGTGGAAATGGCCCTAACGATAATCTTCAAGTAAAAGAAAAGTTGAGTGGTGGACATCTAATTGGAACCAAAGAAATGTGGGAAATCTTAGAAACATATTGTGCCACCCCAGAGTTGTCTTATAGGATGAAATAAAAAATAATAATAAAAAATACCCACCATCTTTACAAGACTCTACCATTATTTATGGCATAAATTTGTTTGCAATTTTAATTATCAGACTGAGAGCTTGGTGTCTCCCATAAATCCTACATAAGTCATTTACTTCCAGGAAGTTCCAAAATGACTTATTATATTCTATGAATGACCAAGACAACACCCAGCCAACAGCCATCTTTCAGAAAGGGAAGAAACTTAATCTAATTACAGTTTAATCAACTCCCAACTACAATTGGGTCCAAAATTTAGAAATCTGTTAAATGAGTTTGGCCCCGCTTTACAACTTTTCTTGCCACAGTTAAGAGAATCGCCGCTGTTGTTAAATTCATAACATGGTCATTAAGTGAATCTGGTTTCCCCGTTGATTTTGTCGGAGGGGTCGCTGAGGAGGTGATCATGTGACCCTAAGACACTGCAACCGTCATAAATGTGAGTCAGTTGCCAAGCATCCGAATGTAAATTACGTGGCCGTGGGGGAATGCTGCAACTGTCTTTAAGTGTGAAAAACAGTCATAAGTCACTTTTTTCAGTGCCATTGTTAACTTTAAAATGTCACCAAATGGACTGTTGTTAAAGACTACCTATATCTCTTGAAGGACCTAGTATTTGGGGAGGAAGGAATACAGCATAACAACGTTGGAAGAGACCTTGGAGGTCTTCTAGTTCAGAGGTCACCAACTGGTGGTCCACGAGAAAATTTTGGTGGTCCGCAGAAAAATTATTAGCATTTTTATATTACACTAAATACTATTTATCATTTAAAAATGTATATTAGTGGTCCGCGGGATTTAAAATTATGAATTTAGGGGTCCCTGAGGTCTGAAAGGTTGGTGACCCCTGTTCTACTCTAGTACAACCACCTGCTCAAGCAGGAGACCCTATCCGATTTCAAACAAGCGATTGCTGTTAAGTGAATCTGGTTTCCGCAGGGTAGGAATGGATTTCCAGAGGAAAAAATTGCAGACTACAGGAACCATTTGCACCACTCAGGTGACCCTGAGGACACAGATAAACTTCCACGGGCTTGAAGGACCCTCTAAAAGGATGCAAATGACCAGCTCTCTGCCAGGAATAATAATCCTTCCATTCCCTACCATCCAGTCAGATTTGAAGAAGCGAAGTGTCTTCAAAAGAAAAAAAGGCAAGAAAGTCCAATTGCCTCCTGAAAAAAGCGCTTTGGGACCCTCCTTCCTTCCAACCCCCTGCTCAAGCAGGAATCCCTATACCCTGAATGGTCACTAAACGAACTGTTGTAAATCGAGGCACTACCTGTATAAGGCCGGAAACTAGCACCCGGTGTTAGGTATCTGAGTGACAGACATAATACTATCCATTTTCCCTCTAAGTTTGGCCGAGTTTCGCTTAGGAAGGCAGACTCTCTTCCTCTCGGGGTCGAAAAAGGCGGCGAGCCCCAATTTTGGGGCGCTCGGAGTTCGGTCCCCGAGGCTTAAAGGCCTAAGCACCCTTTCCTCGGGACGCCCATCCTACACTCCTCCCAGGGGCAGCTTTAACCCGTCGCGGGGAGAAGAGCGGGAGGAGGCGGGCGGGAAAGGCGCCTCGAGAAGCGGCGTCGCTTGAGCGGGGTTGCCGGGAGAGTGCGTGGAGAAGGTAGGCCGGGCGGGCGGCCGCCAAGCGCTCTGGGCCTCTGGGGGCTTCCTGTCTCCCTCAGGCCCAGGAGGGGGCGGGCCGTTCCGCGCGGCCCAGCGAGCCTCTGACAGGCGCCGAGCGGGCCCCAAGATGGCTCCTCTTCCCCTCAGCCGTCGCCGCGGCTCCCACGCCGGAATGAACCTTTCCGCGGCCGCCATTTCCGCCATTCACTCACCCACCGAAGCGAGTCAGCCGCCTCGTCCTCCGCCTCCGCCACCAGGACCTCGACGCCAGCCAGCCAGGCCCCCTTCACCCGCTCCGCCCCCCCCTCCCTCTCTCTCTCTCTTTTTTTTCTCGCCCGCGCGCTCTCACCTCGTCAGGCCGCGCCTCTCGCGAGAACGCCGCCGCCAATCGCGCCGCGGCGCCGAGCCTCGGAAAGGTCGCGGTGTGTTTTTGTGTGGGGGGGAAAGTGGTGGTGGGGAGAAGGGCATAGAGATGTGAATGAAGGAAAGGGACCGGAAGTGCGAGGTCAGAAGCGCCGGAGAGGGGGGTGGAAAAAGAGGAAATGGCTGTTGCCCGGAGGAACGCGAGGACGGAGCGAGTGGTTTGGAATCTATGAGAGGGTGGCGCCTTCCGTAGCCTCGGCCCGGAGCAAGAACTCTTAAATCCGTACTTTGTTCCCTCTGAGCGAGCCTTCATGTGGTTGGTGTCTGGTTCCTGAAGTTGACACACTCTAATCACAGTTTGTTTAATGGTGGTTGACACACCCTGAATCACAGTTTAATGGTGGTTGACACTGAATCACAGTTTGTTTCATGGTCGACATACTGAATCACAGTTTATTTAATGGTGGTTGACGTACAGAATCACAGTTTAATGGTTGACACTGAATCAGTATATTTAATGGTTGACACACTGAATCACTGTTTAATGGTGGTTGACAATCACTGTTTAATAGTTGACATACTCTGAATCTGTTTAATGATAGTTGACATACTCTAAATCACTGATGGTGGTTGACACACTGAATCTGTTTAATGGTGATTGACCATGAATCATTATTTAATGGTGGTTGACACACTAAATCACAATTTGTTTAATGGTTGACACTGAATCATATTGTATGATAGTTGACATATAGAATCACTGTTTAATGGTGGTTGGCTAAGTGTTTAATGGTTTAATGGCGGTTGACACTGAATCACAGTTTGTTTAATGATAGTTTACTGTGTGAACTACAGTGGGGTAGCTATTTATTAATTAAAAAGATTTATACAGCTGCCCAACTCAGTGATATGAAACATTCAAAACATTGAAACGTGAAAGCCGTCTGGGTGACTTTGGCCCAATCACCAGGAGACAGTGAATTCCAGTCCCACTTAAGCAGGAAAGATGCTAGGTGACCCTGGGCCAGGCCCACTCTCTCAGCCCAATCCACCTCACAGGGTTGTTGTTGGGAAAATAGGGGAATAAGAGGAAGAAGCGTTGGATATGTTTGCTGCCTTGAGTTACGAAGTAATAAAGGTAGGATAACAATCTAATAAGTAAAATAAATACAAATCTACAGATTAAGCCTCCTCCCCTTGTTGTATCCTAAGCCACAAACAGGCAAACTGTATTTTACTTCTGGGGCTAATTCAGCCTGTACTAAAACAGTTTTTCCTTATCTGATGACTGTTTTTCATTACCTCTCCATTGCTCCCAACACCAGAGTACAGATATAGTTGTGGCAACTGTTTTTTCCTTAGGATGTAAATAGCAGGGGTGTCAAACTCGAGGCCCGTGGGCCCGATGTGTCACATGCTGGCAACCCCCACCTGTTTTAGTGAAGGAGAAAAAAGTCGTGATATGTCACATGACGAAAACGTGACGCCGTGAGTTTGACACCCCTGATGTAGAGTATTTTAGAGATTCTGGTATCTTTCATTGTTTCTTTAGACACCCTGTACTAATTTTTTTGTTGAAACATTTATTAATTGTCCAAAGCGTACTTTTTAGGGTTTGTAACACATAAAACTTTTAAGTTCTAGTTTACAACTATGCTGGCTGAGTTTATCAAATTCAGTAAGCTCCAAGCAAACCAATTCTCTTTGTTGCAGCGAAATGACTGAATCCAGCCCAAGATGGTGAGATTTTAGTTGTGGCCACTTGAAATAGTGTTATATTGTGACTAGATATCCCTCTGTTTAAAAGAAACTTCTTTTTTTAACATCTATATGCTGAGGGAAGGGAGCACACTGTCCTTAAGTAAATCGACTGCCGCCTCTAATCTTTAAAGTTTAAACAATCTATTCACCCATTCTGAATCTCTTACCATTTAAATCCCAGTGATGCATGCAACTCCAATGGTCTTTGCAAGTAAAAGAATCATTGTTGCATATCAGAAACACCAACCAGAACAGAAAAGATATTTCTCAAATAAACAAAACCACCCAGAGTGCCCCCCCCCCCCCAAAGCCTTTATAGTCATTGTACATCATGTAAAGGACGCAGGGGCTCAGTGGCTAAGACGCTGAACTTGTCAATCAGAAAGGTCAGCAGTTCAGCGGTTCAAATCCCTAGCGCCACGTAACGGAGTGAGCTCCCGTTACTCGTCCCAGCTTCTGCCAATTAGCAGTTTGAAAGCATGTAAAAATGCAAGTTAAAAAAAAAAATAGGGACCACCTTTGGTGAGAAGGGAACAGCGTTCTGTGTGCCTTTGGCTTTTAG